AACTTTGACCACGAAGCAGAAAGTGGGTCTGTGCCAGTGGGAGGTACAGGTCCTCAGCTCCTGGAGGATGACATGGATGAGAAGACCTCTGTGGTTCTAGGTGGGGAGCTCAGAGGTCTCTAGAACCATCTTCATTCAACATCCAGTCAGTAAATTCTTATCAAGAGTCTGGGGTGTTTTTAAAAAATGCTAATCCTCCAGCCCACCCCAGAACTCTGGAATCAGAATCTTATGGGGAGGCATAGGGTCCTACCTACTGTTGAATGTCCCCCAGGCGAGTTGTTGATGACGTTGGTAACCACTGGTCTTGCATTCACGTAACCAGAGACCATGTTCCTCGCAGATAATGTGGCTTGATCTGGGCCTTCAATCAGAATGAGATTTGAAGAAGGAGCTGAAAGAGGGACCTGGGTGAGCAGTCACTCTGGTGGAGGGAGGGGTTGCAGAATGGACCAGCCAGCTGTGTGTCTGTGCAGGGCTGGCGGGGAGGGGCTGTTAAGTGACTGTAGGGAAGCTGTGGGGAAAGAGGCCCCGAGGGGCAATATTTGCATAACTTTTACTTTTCATAGATTTGTGTGTTCTTTACTGAAAGGTTAACCTCCAGGAACAGAAAATTCGCTAAGGTTCAGGAGGTCTCCCTTACAAGCCACAGTTCTGTGTCTTGCAGGCCAGCACCTGTGCCTCCTGCTCCTCCTCCTCCCCCTCACCGCAGTCCAGAGCTCCCAGACCATGTGGAGTTCCACACAGAGAAGTTAAGGTGGTTGAAATCAATTAAGAGAGATCACTTATATGTTCTGAATTCACCGTTCACTGTTCAGACATACATGCCTTCAATCAATGTTGTTTGAATGCCCACTCAGTGCCAGGCCCAGCAAGGGTGTCCGAGAGCTTCAGATGGGTTGTGTGGTTCAGAAGAGGCTCCACTTCGTAAGGGTGCGAGGGCAGAGCTGAAGAGGTGGGGCTCTAAGGCAGGGAGAGCTGCCTGCACGGCTTGTTGGCTGAGGGGAGGATCCTACTTCTGTCCCACTCCTGGCAAGCTCAGGGCCAAGAGGTGCAGTGTTCTCAGGTCACCACCAGGGGTCAGGCGCACCTGCTCTACTCTCCAGTGTCTGTCTCATCTCTTGGCTATTTTATTCTATGAGGAACCTTCCTTGGTCCCATGTCCTCTCCACAACCCCAAGTTCCTCTCTCTCACTTGTGTCAGCCCATCACTCCCTCCTTTAGGTCATCCCATCCAGCCGTCACTGCAGGACGGGGAACCTCCCAACTCGACAGCCTGACGTTTCTCCTGACACTTGGAGAGTCCACAGCTCTCTCACTTCCCCAGCTCCACGAGTGACTGGCTGGTGAGCAGAAAACATCTTCTACTGTCTCACCCTTTCTCCTCCTGCTGCCATTCAGCTCAAGGTCTCTGGTTTTTGTCTCCAGGCAAAACAGGAGTGTTTGGGGGTTCCCTCCTAACAGGTTTTCTTACATATGTTCACAAAGCTCTTCTCCAAGCCCTTTTGTGGCTCCTGGAACCCAGTCCCGAGGGCACCCTCTCATTTTGATGGGAATGTTCCCACCTTACTCCAGACAGTACCCACATCCATGAAACCTTGATCCCTCTGGACCTGATCTCCTCCTCCTTTTGCTTTCTGGAACATCTCAGGCCCTGCTCCCTCAGGTCCCACCTTTCACTTACCCTCCATGCTCCCACTTTACTCCCTGCAAGTGAGTCCCACGGCTTTGGAAGTTCAGTTCCTACCATCTTGGCCCTGTCCTCATACTCATTCCTCCAAGAATAGTTCCCACTCCCCAGTCTGGACTCTAGAGACAAATAGATCTGAGAGAATGCTGGCTTGGCCAGTACCAGCTATGCTACCTATCCTCTCTGATCCTCAATTTCTTAATCTGTAGAATGGGCTCTCAGATATGCTGTGAAGCCCAAGTGAGGTGATGGATGTGGACGTGCTTAGCACAGTACCAGTGCCTAGGAGGTGCTCTGGGAGATATTTCTGTGTCCTTTCCTTCAGAACCGCTGCCACCCCCACTGTCCCTCAACTGCAGCCTGCTGATAGGAGTCTGCCCTTGTCTCTGTGCAGTGGCTGCTTCTGCTCCCCCCACCGCCCCTGGGCAGAGCTCTGGCCCAGGCAGAGGTGGACTTGGGGATATGCAGACACCATACTAAGGGGATGGGGACAGATGCAGGGCTCTGTGGGGACCTCAAATCCAAACTCCATCTGCAGGGCTGTGTCCTCACTCTACCATGCACGAGACCTGGAGTGGGGTCCATTCTCCTCCTCCCTGGAATTATTGGGGGCCCCTTCTGGCCTGGGGAGGGGGAAGGGCCCCCACAGAGTCCCCTGAGGCTTTGAGAGGACCAGAAGGCTGGTGGGAAGGGTAGGAGGGGTGGGAGGGGAGGCAGGGCAGGGGGAATACCGACCACACAGTATTCCGAGTCCCTGCTCCTTTCCCATCCACCCCCACCCCTCCACCAAACACGATCCCTGGGTTAATTTTTAGCATCGCAGCTCGCACATTAGTCACTCCCTGTCACCCACCTACACGGCAGGAGGCTGCTGTGCTGGTGCCGTCATCCCATCAGCTGAGAGGTGGGATCCAGCCCCACCCTGGGCACCCCCTCACCCTCCTCGGAGTGCACACGGCCAGCCAGGAGCCCCTTTCAGCCTGGGTGAGAGGTACTGACATCACTCCCAATGCTAGCTGCCTGGTGGGGGAGGGGAGGAACAGGCTGGTAGGAGAGGGGCGGGGACTCTATTCTGAGAGGAGAAAGCCAGGGAAGCCCTGGCAGACCCCCAGCCCCAGGAAGGTGCTCGGCTGTGCCCGGGCAGCTGGTCTGCTGGCAGCCCTGGGCTCTGGGAACAAAGGTGTGTGAGGGCTCCTCCCCTAGACCTGAGCCCCTGGGAGCTTCTGTTTGTCATCACGGCAGAGCAGCTGTTCAAACAGGGAGCTTGGGGAAGCTCCATTTTCTTAATCAAATGTCCTCCCTCCCCAGGACCCGGGAGGGCAGGGCAGCCAGGTGCAGGTGCCCAGACTTGAGCTGACACCCAGCCTTGAAGGGATTTTGTGAGAGGGGCCCACAGATGGAGCAGGAGAGGGGCCTCGACCATCCTGCCCTCCAGGGCTGAGGGGTGGGGAGGTGGTGGCCATCCCTGTGTAGGGCTGGCCCCAAGGAGGCATTCCTGTATGTTAAGCACCTGTTTTGTGCCAGGCTGTATTAAGTCATGGAGGTACAGTGTAAACAAGGCTGAGTTTCCTGCCTTAGAAATGCAAAAGACATAGAAAAGAAGTCAGTATAATTACCAATTGGGAGTAAATGCTATAAAAAAAAATAGAGGGCTCAAGATAAAAAATAATGGGGAGAGGGAAATACTTCAGATCAGATCCTGGAAACCTCTTTAAGGAAGGGATGTTTAAGCTGATACCTGAGGATGGAGAAATCAGTCTTGCAAAGACTATTCCAGGCAGAGGGAACAGTACGGGCAAAGGCCAGAGGGAGGAAAGCTTGCCATATCTGAGATTAGGACTAGAAAGAATAGTGTGGTTTAAATGTGATAAGTGACATGGAAGGAGAAAGTCTGAGCTTGAAGAGATGGCAGGGCATCCCAGTTTAGTTGCAGAGGTTGTGCACTGCACAAAGACTCCTAGTTGCCAAATTGTTGGGCCAGCATGGCTGCTGTCAATCCACAGGAAAGGATGCCTTTTTGTAATTTGTCTGCCCAGAGGGACAACACATTGTGGATAGGCCATGATAAAGAGTTTGTATTTTATTCTTTTATTCCAGGGGAAGCCATAATGGGTTTTAAGCAGAGGAGGGTTGTGATCCAATTTCTTTTTTGGAAAGAGTGCCCTAACAGCTGTGTGAAGGATGGTCCAGGGGTGAGAGAGGAAGCGGGAAGCCCATTCAGGGTGCAAGTGCAGGGGAAGGGGATAGGAGGTGGCCTGCCTTGGCGGGGTGGGGGGTGCCACTTGGACCTCTTAAAGCCACCGTGTGTGTGCTGATTACTGCCAGGGAGGAACACTGGCATTGGAGTCTCAAGTCTTGAGCCCAACTCTGCCACTTACTTTCTGTGTGACCCTGGACAGATTACTTTCCCCAAGTCACCTCAGAGAAGGTAGTGACCACCTCTTGGAGATGCTTTGAGCACACACTGTGTTTATTGAGGTTCTACTATGTGCTGGTGTTGGATAAGAAGTAAAGCAGTGAGTAAGACAGGAGAGGTCCCTGAGTCCTGCTGCAAGGAGTGCCCCTCCTAATGGGGAGAGGAGACAGACAAAAACCAAAACCCATCACAGTAAAGACAATTTCAGATGGGGATGAGTAGTATGATGGAGCTAAAATAAGGCACTGTCACAGCAGAGGGCGTGACGGTCCTTTACACAGGACAGGAAGGCCTAGTGGAGGCAGAGCTGAGTCCTGAAGGAGCCAGCTAAGGGCAGAGCAAGGGAGATGGCAGGGCATCTGAGGTGTACTGTGGGCCAGGCTGCCAGAGCAGGGAGTGGCAGGGGAGGCACAAAAATGAGGCAGGCAGAGGTCAGATAGCCCTGCATGGGAGTTGGAATCTTACTCTGGGAGTAATGGGAAGCCTCCGAGGAGTTGTAGAACAGTGGAGTGACAGTGATTGAGCCTGTCACAGGTTAGATGGTTGATGGCTAAGGTCTCCTGGGGGAGAGGGTGCCGAGCAGTTATTTACACAGGGAGAGTTAAGGACTTTAGAGGAGCCTTGACCCCACCTGGTATTTGGGGAGGGAGGCTCAAGATACCTTAAACAAGAGGCCCAAGTTCTGAAGGGATGTGGGGCCTCTAGGTCAGGCCCATACATGTAAGTTAAAATCCCCCAGTCTATTTCCCTGGCTGCAGGCTCCAAGAAATGAGATGTACAATATTGTGTGTGTGTGTGTCTGTGTGTGTGTTAGAGGGCGGGTGCGTGGTGGAGTCAGAGCTTGCCCCAGCCCAGTCCTCCCCCTCAGGCAGTCACCACACTGACACAGATGCAAAAAAAAGTCAATTTTTTAGTTTGTGGTTCAGAAGCAACAATATGCAAAATGGTGGAACAGTCTGAGCTGCCCCCACCCCAACCAGGACATTCCCATTCCTGTCCCCCAAGGGGCAAAGAACCCAGGACCCATGCCTGGCAGGACCCCACTTAGTTACAGGCCCCTGGGAGGGGCCAAGCCCTTAGGGGTCAAGGCCAGGAGGGAGGGGGACCAGCACCTTAGGACCTCTCAGGGGCCCACTGGTTAACTGGAACTGTGTGCGCGTGTGTGTGGAGGGTGGGGGAATGACCCAGCATTGGCCATTTCTCCCCAAGGCCAAGGGTGGGGAGCAAGTAAAGCTGAGGAGAGGGCTTCGTGGGACAGGGTCCCCCACTCGGAGGAGGGGTTTTCCTGGACACCCCACAAGGCACTACTGACCCAGATGATAGACGGCACGCTCCATCTTTGGCCCCCGAACCTCTCCCAACCCTGAGCGAACTCGCTTGGTTCTGCCCTGCACCACCTCCCATGGTGGTTTTGGGAAGGAGGAGTAAAGGGGCCTGGGGCCCGGGTTCACCACTTGGCAGAGACAAGCCAGGAACCAGGCAGGCCAGCTGGGGCTGGCAAGGGCCCTCTCCCGCTGCTCTGGGCTCCTGGGGTCCCCTTAGCCGGGCAACCGCCCCGCCTCCTTTTTGCACTGGCTGGAACGAATAAATAAATAAATACCTTCCCCCGCCCGCCCGCGCCCCTACAGCTGGCTCTCCTCCTCCTCCAGGGAGCGGTTGAGTCCGGGGATGAACTTGAGCAGCCGCCGGCGGAAGCTGCGGTACTTCGTTTTGCGCAGCCCAGGGCCGCACAGGGCCTGCTCGCGGGCCTCAGTCCAGAG